ACGTTTTTAATGTTTTTTTAATCTCTTCTGTGGTTGTCAATTACAATAGCTTGAATATTCTGTTCATCCTCAACTTCAGGACTTCAGTCCTCCAAGAGAGGTCTTTCTCTGTCAGGCTTCTGTGTGACAAGCAGAGATTTCATCCCCAAAGAGTATTCCCTTAGCATTTACCATGACTGTTTTTAGTGCATTTCCTCAGGTAAGGGAGCAATGCAAACAAAAAACAGACTGTGCAACAACATTTACCCTTTGAGACATGTCTAAAGGCTTGACCATAGCCTGGCCAGATGTTCCAGCTGGAGACCTCAGCCTGCTTAAATGTGCTACCAAAAGATGGCATGTTCACAAATTAGGGAAGTGGTATAGATGTCGTTTACATCTGGCAGTGCATAAAATAGGGAAATGACCAGTGAGCTCTTTCTTTTTTACCTTGAATTCTGTGCCTTGCACCCTGGAGTTATGGGGAGCTCCACAGTCAGCAAAAGTCAATGGTAGGGACAGAAATGGAAAATACTTGGGAAGAAAATTGCAGGTGGTGGCTGGCAGTTTCTATAGGCCTCACCTGAGCAGCAGAGTGGTGCCATAAAAGAAAGGGGCTGACAAAGGTACCCAGGCCCTCCCTACAAATGTTTTGGGAAAGAAATATCAGGACCCAGATGACCCAAGGATGGACCAGCCACCCAAGGGAAGGCACTGCTGGTGCAGAGGGACTGTGCCATCCAGGTCACTCGCTGTAGTTGTCTCTCCCTGGAGTCAAAGGGTGGGTTGTCCTCAGGTCACCAGGGATGGAGTCTGAACCAGACTTCTGCCCATCTACGCTTCCAGACACCCATTCCATGCTGGGAAGACCCAGAAGATAAACTACAACCATATTGTGTACATGAGGTGTCCTGCCCCACTCTTTTAGTTTTGGGGAAAGAAGTGTGATAAACAAGAACCCAAACTGGTTTCTTTCTGAAAAGCTGCCAGCAGCAGGTCCAATTTGCAGAAGTCCTGTCTGCAATGAGATGCTTTGCTGCCAGGTATATTCCCAGCTTATGGAAATGGAGTATTCTTCAAAGGACAATTCAGAAGGATTTACAGGTGACCTGCAATAAAGAGGTCACGGGACTGGCAGGAGCCACGCACCAACACCAAAGCTACCGGCTGAACAGAACGAGGTACGGGGGTTAACCACACCGAGTGATGTTGTCACATGTGGTGCTGTAATTATTCATCCTGTAGAAAATAATTAATGGTCTCCCTCTCGGGGGGCGGGGTGAAGGTGAATCTGGAAAACTTTTGATTCACTCTGTTTTAATTTAGAGGCATTGGTTTTGTTATTTTACTGTTTTCTTAGAAGATAGTGAGCACGCAGAGTCTGGAAATAGTATATTTGAGCTATTTTGGAATAAAGTGTCAAGGAAATGAAGCAGAAGGGGAAAAAAAATCAGCTTTTTTTATATGTTTTGTACCAAATATTAAACTTTAAATACCTGACAAGTTTTCAAGAGTTTAACCCAGTAAACTGCTTACTCTGGGTTTCTCTGAAAAGATAAAGGGGGGAAGCAGGAAATGAAGCAGAAGGGAAAAAAAATTCAGCTTTTTTATATGTTTTGTACCAGATATTAAACTTTAAATACCTGACAAGTTTTAAAGAGTTTAACCCAGTAAACTGCTTATTCTGGGTTTCTCTGAAAAGATAAAGGGGGGAAAAAAAATCTTGAACATGGGCTTACAGTCTAGGTACTGTTTTCAACATAAAGATTTCACAAGATGCACTAATTTTGTCACTCTGGCAGGAAACTGAGGTTTTTGTATTTAATGAAGCATTTCTTTGAAGTCATGCTAAAATGATGAGCGTGACTGTGTTGCACATCTGCCTTCCGCACAGGGCAGACCATTTCAACTTCCTTTTCCGAGACACTGCTTGGAGCAGCCCAAGAAAGCTACGTATTTACCAAAACTTCATTAAGCAAAAATGGAAAAAAGGTGGCTTTTCTCCCTCTTTTGTTTGTCCTGTGTGCCCAGCGTTGCAGGTAAGCATGTTGGTGGGACACCTTGACTATGCGGGGTGGTGAAGGGCAGGGTGGCATGTGTAGACTGGGCTTAGAGTGTCTCACTAGGATGAGCTGTAGCTACTGGTAATGATTTCTGTTTCCTGTCACCTTTCTAATAACCTTAGTTATAACGTGCAGCTAGTAAAGGAGTAAATGTCTTGTGCTGACTAGCAGATTAGTTTATTAAAAATGCCTAACCTGTTTTCACCAGAGTAATCACTGAGATGAGCTCACTTGTATTTAGGCCATATGCTCATCTCCAATGGGCAAAAAGGAAAACTGCTTTCAAAAAAGGAAATAAAAAAAATATCTATCTCTCTCACACATGCAGCCATACCTGTGTATGCAGAGAGGAAGAGCTGAAACACTTAAAGGCAAAGATAAATGGTAATTTATCTTTGCAACCCCTTAAATAGATTCTTCCCTTCCTCTTCCCCACCCAGCCCTATGTGCCGTGTTAAAGGCTTGAGAAACAAGTTTGTCAGTGGGAGTAAAACTTTCAGAAAAGTTGAGTAAGGAGAACTACATCTCCATTAGAGAGAGTTTAAACCAAAAAATATCTGAGGGAAAGCAAGACAAAGCCTGATATTCAAAACCTCCTCCACCCACCCCTACAACAGGTTGGCCATGCTGAAGGCAGGAGTACTTATTACCAGGTAGGAGGAAGAATGTTGTAGGATACACATTTTTCCAGTTAAGAAAGGAAAAAGTTTATGCATTTGATTGGTGTGGTAAGATGCATCTCAAAATCTGGCATAGGCTATTCCTGTTATCTACATCTCTGAGGCAGCCTGGATTTTAAAAGAAAGGAAAATATTTCATATGTGTATTCATAGAAAATAAAAGTTCTCAAATGCAAAGAAAGAACTAGAAGCCTCCAGACATGCACATCCAGGAAAGCAATATTATTTAGGGGAAAATAGGGCTGTTGGGTTTTTTTTTCCTGAGGGTGAAATCCTCACTGAAGTCACTCAAAGGTGAAAGTAGGCCATGCCCTTTGTGGAGGTCAAACATCTAAATGTCTGGGAGTTACTCTATTAAATTTCAAATAGAGCAGAGGTATGGGCTAATGGACAGCATTTGATTTGGAAAAACAAAGTTGGCATAAAGTGAGACTAATTATATTGACATGCTAACAAAATTTAAGAACACTTTTGCATGAAAGGGTTTCAGTTAAAATAACCTGAAGTGCTGGGCTCCTAACAAACAACACAAATTAAGAGGTTATTTCTATGGATGTAACTTGGTCATCTTAATATAAAATATTCAAGTAATTCTTGATAGACATTCTTTACACAGTCCTTTGACCTAATACAGCATCAGTATGACTATGAAAGGTAACTTGCTAGGTGCCCCTTTTCTGTTAGTCTGACAGCAAGATTGCTAATTGCTTTTTACATGATTTTTACTGATGCAAAACTTGCAGTGAAATCGGTGACCATTTTTTATAATAAGCTCCTTGGACTGAAAAAAAATTAGTTTTCAGTAATTTTTCTCACAGCACTTGTCACTCAGGCTTATTTTTATTTACCCTCTTACATCATCCTGTCTCTTGGAAGTCAATTAAAAGATGAACAGAGCTGGTACAGCAATAAAAAAAGGACATTAATGCTGGCTGTGGCCATTCAGTAGCTTTGGTCTCCATGCACCGAGTCTCTACGTGTTCATGTCACACCTGAGTGGTTAGGTACCAAATCCCAGCCAGCTCTGTGGGGATGTGGGACTCTGCCCTTCTTCTTCTTCCCTGTCAAACCGGAGCTTCGGGTGCACCAGGCTCCTGTCTCACTCCTGGCTGAGCTGGCAGAGCATGGGGTACACTGGCTCCCTGGCAGGCACCATCAAGGTTTCCTGGCTCCTGGCTGGACAATAGCTGGCTCAGGTGCCTGAGAGCTCTGTACCATATGGCAGAGCAGTTGTCAAAGCAAATAAATTGGAAATTTGCTTTTTCCAAGTGAAGAAGCTGAGCAGTGCACACTTGCTGCCATGGGGAGTGCACGGGATGGGTGGTGCAACCCACCCGCCAGTTCCCAAAGCAAATTTACTGTGCTGTTGTGATACACAAGAAGGATAAAATCCAATGGAGATGTGGAGCCACAAGTCCATACCTAAAAATGTCTGCACAAACTCATTTTTTTTTCTGAGGACCTGCATGCCCTTTTGAAAAAGAGCCTTTTGTGTACAGCTCTGTGAGTGTGATTGATGACTTGTCTCACTGTGACTCTCTCATCCATAAATCTTTCATCTAGTTGAGTTTGTCAGTGCCCTGCATACAGGGTTTTGGGGACTGCGAACCTCTTGTTCATAGGAAGGAGAAAGGGAGAGAAATCAATTTTACTACAGCAGCAGCAAAACCAAGCAATACAGGCTCCTGTCGAAAGCCCCTTCATTTCATCCATCCATTTCTCCTTTACATGGCACACTAAGGACAGCCAACGTGCTTTAGGAAATCAGTTGAGGAAGAAACTATACGTACCAGGGCAGCTCGCTCTGACACTGAAATGGACACTCATTTAGGCCATGCAGGAGCTATTTAATAATGTGGTGGTATAAGAACAACTGTCTCGGTTGCAGAAGCTAAGGCAATGGGCAGGGGGAACGGTGCAGGGCAGAACTGGCCAGC